TGTTGACTCATTCCGCAATTCCACCTTACTCACTTCTTGAGTGGATTGGCCAACAAAAAGTCCAATCTTTTCATTTACAACTAACATGGTCTTCCCCAAAAAACAAACACATAAACAAGTCCAGGAACTCAGGAAGTGAGTTCGGCCTTCGCTTCGCACACGTGTTTTATGTTTGGGACTACTCCACCCCTGGGACGGAGTCATGCGGTCACGTGGGGATCACAGACCAGCCGAGGGGAATGAACTGAAAGGAAATGAAGCGAATGGTGCAAGGAGAGCTGGTAGACACTGCCAGTCTTGGCAAGTGCTTCCAGGCGTTTCGCCACTACAGCAGGACAGCAGGCACCCAAAAGAAACCATCCATCGTAAAGCCTACCCCACTTCTGAACGAGTGGATGGGCCGAAAAAGTCCCCAAACTTGAGTGCCACCATGGTCTTCCGGCCCCAAAAGTCACCTGTCCGAAACGGGAAAAACCGATCCGTGAAGCCTAGTGGCAAGCACTTAGCACCAAAGCCTCCGCCTCAACGGAGGGCTAATACTACTTCTAGGTCCTCCAGTGAGGATAGAATCAGGGTACCAACGATGAGTTTCTGTAGCCTAGTTTAGTAGGGGAACCGAATCTCCCAACCAAAAACGTTGGTAAAAGGGCACCTAGCTGGGGGACCTAGACTTTGAAAGGGGCAATGTTACTTTTGAATTGCATTCGTAGTGGATCCATTTCCAGAAAGTGTCTTTGCTTTATTTCAGGCGTGTCATTTAGTGCCACTGTGTTTATTGAAAATGTCTGAAAGCCAGCCAGATTTCACTTGTGGTTCGGGTGTCCTGGTCGTAGTCGTTTTTTTTGAATAAAATCCCGGGCGATTTTTTGGCTATGTAAAGAGGTCAGAAAAACGGGTACCTTTCTGTAGTCTACTTTAATGGGGGAACCGAGTCTCCCAACCAAAAACGAGTTCCGATAAAAGTTGGCACCAAGTGCTGGGGGACCTAGTTGCCCCCTGAAATCTTAAAAGACTGACACCAGTGAGAAGCATCGACACGGGGGTCTCCTTCCCGATGTCGCGTTGGAAGGGGCTGGGCTTAGTGCGACAAAACTTGGTCTGCTTGGAGGCTCTCTGTTTCGTGCTAGGGTTTCCTCCATTTGCGTTCTCGTCCCCTGGAATAAATCTGTATGTCCAGTAGTAATAGATTCCCTTTAAAATCCACAGGGGAAAATGAAACAATTATTCTTAACCAAATGGAAGGTTTAAAGGGAAACCAAAACGAGCACCACCATTTTGAGGGCTCCAACCTGAGACAAACACAGCCACTCGAAGGTAGCTGTGTACCATTTGTAGCGGTGCTTAGGCTTACCCTGTTAGCCATAGTTGGACATTGAACTGCCCCTTCCATGCAACATGCGCCTTGCACCTAGCCCCCCCCCCCACCCCCCCAATTTAGCGTAAGGACTCGAACTAGTTCCCCTTTTCGGCCCAGTGCCGTGAAGCACTTTGGGGGTTGCTTCGCAAGAGGTGAATTTGAGCATGGCACTTTCATGGGCCACATAAAAGTAGACCAAACTTGAAAACCCGATTGCGGTCCGGTCGTTGCTGAGAAACTTTAAGCAACCTTACTCCTCTCAGCTCCCTTTGCACCGACGATGACACCACTGTACAGTCATTTGGAAACGACAAAAAATGCCAATGAGTCTCCACTAGTCAATGGCCATCCGGCAAATTGTGCATTGCTGCTCTTCTGGCGTGACCTTAGTGTCACGAGCGTGCTAACGGCGTGCAATCAACCCCGCCTGGTTGCCAAGCGGCCAAAACCATGGAGGTTCCCCCTCTGTGGGCATGTCTTCTTTAGTGAACCCCGTTTTTGTCGAGAAGTTTGGTTCTTGATAACCAGACCTTGAACATCACCCCTCCCAAAGGAAACTGAACATTGGATTGCGAAAGGGTGATGTTCAAAACCCAGAAAGAACATATACCCACTTCCCTTGTCAGACATAAAAACACAAGGACAATAGATTGAAATCTTAACTAAATATGGAGCAAAACACCAAAAAAAACAACGGGAATCCCAAAAGTTTCCCTTTAAGCATCGGCGAAAAGTAAACTTGCTTAAAGTCGGCCCAAAGGGTGATGTGTAAAACAACCAAATGTCTAAGGGTTGATTAATCCTCTTCACCCATCGTCCTATAAAAAACTCCTTCACATTTGTTCAGCGGTTTGCCCGAAATGTTGAGGTGGCTCCCCAAGAATGGGAAAGGCGCGGCCAAAAGGGGAGAGAGGCAACCCTCTAGGATAATAGCTTATGGTCTTTTGGGTATGTTTCAGCCCCAAAAACAGCTTCGGTTTCCTTTTAGCCCAACCTTGAGAAGGGTACCCTCAAAAAAAAACAGGCACACACACGCACTGTTGTTGTTTTGGGGGGGGGGTTGGGCGAAGCTCGAATGTTGCTTAGCCAAGAGGCCGCAGACCCGCAGCGATCGCAGCTGAAGCCAAAACACGGCTTGTAGCCCTGCGCTCACGGTGACTGCTGAAAACATATTTGCCTTGACCCCCTTAGGCTCATCCAAACGAGTATCCTGGAACTTGTACTTACCACTAAAATTGTCTATCCAAAAAAAAACAAAAACATGAATTCAGGGAAGAGTTGGGGACCGTTGTTTTCCCTGCGCAAAGGATACACAAAAACGGGGTAAGGAAAACATGGGGCCAGTAGGGGTCTGGGTGTTTATAAAATCGGCTACTGCCCAAAAATAATTGGATGGCGTCTCCCTTTTCAAGCGCAGTTTCAAGGTCAAGGGTGTTACGCAGTTGGGCATGTGTCATTTTAGGGTTTGGATCCCAAGCAGTAAGCCCAGATAGAAACATACAAGCCACAAATTTCTACCTTGGCCAGTGATTCCAGGCAAGCCACTATAGTAGGCAACCAGGTAGTTTTACCTCTAGGCTTTACATAGAGTGGGAACTGGAAGCACCGGGTTAGCCAAATTAGAATTTGCTGTAGCAGGCTGGCTTCTCGGATCGCACCACCTACTCACTGGGTGGCCCAGACTTTCTATGGCACAAAATCTGCCCAAAACCTACCCCAGTGCTTCCAAGTACTTCTGTAGTAGGTAATCGGAGGAAGCCATGATGTAAACCGTAGAAGAACGCATCCCTGGTTGCCTACTATAGTGGTAACTGGAAGCACTGGGTACTCCAAATACTATCTGTTTTAGGTATCCTTTTTGGAGAACCTTTCTTTCCAGGGTACATACCCACGTTTTGAGTCAATGGACGACCTCATACCAACTCAAAAGGCCGGGTCTCGGGGTGTTCCAGGGGCAAGGTCCAGGAACGAACATGGCGCCGGGTCGATACAAGATCAGCTAGGCCCAAAGGAGCAACGACGCCACTCCTTTCGCCCTGACCCATTTTGACCCAACCGCGAATGACCAGCTTGGGGGTTGGGGATTGATGCCACGCTTCTTGGATCAGCATGGGCCCCTAGGCCCAAAGGAGAACTGGGTTTGTCTCTCAGGTTTACCTTCCCCTTCAAAACAACCTCAAAATGGGTACCCTTAAAACAAGACACCTCTAAGCAACGCCCATTAAACAAAAGCACTTCTAAGAAACTGGGGCAAAGCAACACGCCCGCGGCGAGTTGCCTCTTCAACGCCCTCTAAAACCAAGCTTGGCGGCCCTTAACGGGGGATCGCGCTAACGGGGTCTGGACCGGGCAGTTTTGGGCTGGGCGGCAACCGCGCAATACGCTAAGCCCTGGGTTGGAGCACTTGTGGTGTCGCTTGCGGTCATTCAGGTTTCTTCAGATCGTGACCACCGATGTAGCACTCCCAGACTAGATCAGGGGTCGCTTGTGGTTATTGAGGGTTTCTTCAAAACATGGGCCATGCGCGCAGCGGGTGGCCAGCGAAACCACTAAGTATGCAGAGGCAAAACCTCCTCACAAGCAGCGTCAAACTGAATGTCTGCAAAAAGCGCCCGCCCTGGAGTGCTTTCAAAATAACACCTGGTGGGTCTAAAAGAATGCATTCCTTGCTTGTTGCTTGTAACTCGAAGCGAAAGCTTGCTTGTTGCTTGGCAAGCTGCTTTCCTTCAATAGACCATGCCAACTGGGCGGTGTCTACTTAAAGGGGCGATCCCACCCCGCACCCTCTGCCGTGGTCCCACCCAAGACACCACCCCAGTGATCAGCACATGGCTAGCGCTCCCGCCCACCCAACACAATGACATGGCTAGCGCTCCCGCCCAACCCACCATGGTAAGTGTCTTATAACCATGGCTAGTACCCACTTAGCACTTGGATGTTCGGCCAAGTTACAGTAGCAAGTGTCTTAGGGTTTCGGGTGTCGGGTTTCTGGGCATAGCCCCCGAACAAGGTTGACCCTACTTAAACTTAGGGGACTTATGAGTGGGTTACCTAGGTTACCAATACTAACTTGGCCGAACAAGTACCAAGGGATCCTTGGGGGAATATGCTTAAGAACCAAAGGGAAAATAGCCGGTTACCTACTATATTGGCAATTGGGATGCACTGCACACGGCCGCAGCCTTGATTAGAAGGATTCCCTTCTTCCCTTATGCCCCATTTACAGAGGAATCATCAGAACCAGGCTTTCTTGGGTGGTGCGATTTCCGGATTTCGCAAAACCATCCACAGTAAGCAGCTGAAATCTTCTTCAGACCAATTGAAAATGGTTGGTCATTACCCGAAAGAATGGTTGGTCGACGACCCATTTTTATTTCGGGTCAGACGGAGACGCCAGGTACTTTCTGTGGACGGTTTTGTGAAATCTCGAAATCGCGCCACCCTTCAGAAAGCCAGTTTTCTGATGATTCCCCTGTGAACAGCAGCAAACAATAAGGGAATACTTGGTTGACGTTGGAAGGGGAGCAAAGATTTAAACTTTAGCAGCTAAGTGCGTAAGTGGGGGTTGCCCACAAAACCACAATAAGCAAACATGATTCAAATGTCTCCCAACAACCACAATAAAGGAATCAACTTGTACCCGTCAGGTTTTCGCCTTCAGCAGCTGCTCAGCGTCGTCGCTGCGCAGCCACAATGCCACCGAGGACATGGCATCGCACGCCTTGGCTCGCTCTCCTTGCGAACCTGGGACCTGACGTTGGGGGCTGGACCGCGTTCCTTTTAAAGGGACCGGGTCCCGAAATAATTGGTGGAAGAGTACCCAATACACTTTTAAGAGGTTCTCATTTTTAGACGGATGTTTACGCAAAGGTGTTTCAGCTCACCATAGTTTATGGGTTTGTTTTTTATGGGGCTTGATGGTTTTTTTTCTGGGTTGTCCCCTCATTGCGGTTTTGAGTGTAGTATGATGGGTTTGAAGTTCAAAAGGGTTGTTCCACCATGGGTCCAGTACCCCATAACGAGCCTAAGGGTTTCACCATATGTTATACGTGATTGCTGGGTTTGTTATGGGTGTTCAGATTTGTGATTTTGTGTGAACATAGATTTTAACGAGTGTGAGTTGGGATTCGTTATGGAGCTTTGCTATGCCGGCTATGCCACCCATGATGAAGTTCGTTTCCCTTAGCCTTAGGTTCAGTCGGTGAATATGCCCAATGTTCAGAGTACCCTGCAGGTTGCCGGATTAGGGTGTGTCTTTTCAATGGGGTTGGGTTTATTATTGTATTTTGATGTGCCTATTTGAAGGTGATTCTTTTTTCAGGGTACCCCCATAGTTGGCCTTCAACTGTAGACCGAATTCTGACATGCACCAAAGGGTCCCTACTCAAAAATCATGCCGAAAACCCATTGACTCTTGCCAGTCTCAGGAGGTGGCAACTCTTGAGGGCCGCTTCGGTCCGTCACTTTTTTGCCGAGGCATTTCAAGTCCTTCTCAGACCAACCTTGATAGCCAAGTTGCTGTTTTTTCAGTCACGGCTGCTGGTTTTTGGGGTAAAGTGCATGAGGGGGGGAAAGAAAGGAACAAAAACAAAATCAAAAACTGACGATCCCGGAAAAAAATGCAAGAGGTCAACAAAACATACCCCAAGAGCATCAGATTTCAGACCCAAAGAGTCGAGCTGGACCTTGATTGGATGGGAAGGTTGTGGATCAAGGAGCCTTCTGAGGTCCCGAAATGCTTGGGGCGAAGGGAAGAAACACAATTCGCTTTGGACAGCTGCGCAGCTGTCGGCCTGGAAGAGAAAAATCCCAAGCTGGAGTCTCCGGATCTGACCCTGAAAAAGTGGGGTAAGAAATTACCCAAAATAATGGTTGGTCATTGGCCCATTTTTGAAGGGTCATGGAGACTCCAGGAACATATTGGATTTCGCCGGGAGGGAGACACCAGTTGAAACCAGCGGTCATTGTCCAAGTCATTTCCCTCCAAGCCACCCTTAGGCTTGCATAGCCATGCAGTCGAGACATGGAGAACCCCGACCACTTCCGCCCTTGCAAGCTAGCTGGAACATCAGGCTAGCCGTTGTTAAATGGTTGATATTGCCTCACCAGTCCTGGACAAAATCCGATTCGCACCAGTTGGTAGGTGGTGTGCCCCAGTACATTTGTGGGGGTTCATCCATCCCAACTGGTAAAGGATTTTGGGTCGTCTTTTTGAACCCAAAGCAGTGGGCTGTGGGGAATCCATCGAAACCAGAAACACCCCCTTCTTGGATTTTAAGATGGTTTCCACTACCCCAAGATTGATGGTATTTGCAGGGGTTTAACGGGATATAAAGGGTGTATATATATATATATATCCCATTAAATACCTGCATGTAGCCTCGGTTTAGTGGAGGATATTTTAACACTATATTCCACAGTTTGGGGGGTAGATTGAATTCGTGGTAGGCTTCCTGTGGGCGGGCGTTTGCCCCCGGCTGCCATGTTTCGTGAAAGTTTCTGAACGGGTGGGACTCACTCGGCTGCCTTCTGAATGGATTGGGGAGGAGAAGTCACTAAAGCTTTCGCGCTGGCATGCTTGAGTCGAACAGCATCAACCAGCTTAGATGATCTAAGCACGAGTTGGAGTTGTTTGACCATAAGTGCATCCTTGATCTTCCCAACAAGTCGAAAGTCAGGGAAAAATACGGCGGGGATACTGAGGCTTCCCTGCAAAGGCCACCGTGTCTAAATCGTGCCCGACGAAATATGCCCATCCCTACTGTGCATGGACCACTTTGAAACTATGGTTGAAGCCATGACGTTTGTTGGTATTTACAGGGGAACCATCAGAAACCAGGAGTAGCAAACGGACATAATTTAGGGTCTTATGTTGTTGAAGAAAAACATACATTTTAGGAACAGGAGAAAAAGACCAAAAAAGAAGAAGAAACTAAAACACGAACAAGGCACTGTAGAATAAATAGTGTTGGCCGCCTTTTTAACTATGTTTATCTAGAAAGAATAAAGTCTGATCTATTTCCCTATGACTACCATAGATTCAACTCAAAATAGGGTTTCTGAACGGTGGTGCGTTTTATGGAGTGTGGTTTCCCCTACTTGGATGTTCAATCCACGTCAGGTAAGTAGGTTAGAACCATGTTTTTAAGTAGGGTGGCCGGGGTTGGTTCCCCCATAACCGTGGCTATAACCTACTAAGTGGGTTGAACATCCAAGTAGATCTTCCCTGTTGCGCACCCTCCGAAACAAAACAAACTCCGACACCACGCCGAGCGAGTCGCGTTCTCGTATGAGTTCGTAGCACCCAACGGAACCCGCGGCAAGATCTCTTGCCTGAGAACGAGAAGCGGTGCGAATTCGAGTGACAAGTGTCCACCAACATGTTACCCTGAGTCCCTTGGTATACCGCCATACTTACGGTTGTGGGTTTGGTTCAAGGGGATTCGACAACTACAGATTCCTCAAAACAGCAAACATAAGGTACCAAAGGACCCTTTCCGTTGTAATGAGTAGCAATCGGTCAGCATAGCCAACCAATGGGTGCCGTTAGCACGCAATTGGAGATGTCCGTACAGTGGGGCCATGTGGTTTATTGTTTCTACCATGGTTCTGGGTGTTGCATAAGGTGTCTGCAAAAAAACAAGTGGACCATCACCCATCCCCTTTTGGTTTTCAAAAGGGATGGAGAAAAAACAGAGGGACGTCAGGAAAGTGCGAAGAAACCAGGTGGACCCGCGGGGGTCAGGGGCTATATATTCAGTTGTTCAGTGACCCTGGAAAAAAAGGGAACCCTTTTTTGGGAAGACCGTTTTAGTGTGGCAGCCACCAAAAAAAAGGGAAAAAGGGAGCCACTGAACAACTGAGTATAATTACCCTTATTACCGTTCATGAGATTCACCATTCATTACCTGCTATAGTGGCTGCCTGGAAGTCAGCATCTGCCACGGCCAAATGTAGGCCGAAAGAATGTGCCCAGATGCCTTGCAGATGCAAGGCAGGCCGGATTCAACGTTCCATTGCATGCGTGCGCTGCAAAACTCTTGGAACCCTGAACTTTGCCTGGTCAGCTCCGTCGACACGGATGACAATGCAGCTCAGCTTCTGCTGCAAGAGTATCATCCGCCGACCCATCTGAAGTGCCGGTCTGCAATTTTGCGACAGCGTGACAAAGTTGCGGTCAACTTGCCTGTCCAGCCACTGGCTTAAAATGTGCTTCGAGTACCGCTCCATGGCAGCAGCGCGCTGCGCAGGGGTCAGCACGCCCCGGAGAAGCTTCTTGCACGCGACGCACTCGTCGCAATTCGGGTGTTGGCCAGAGCTTTTAACGTGAAACCGGCGACTAAACTCTCAAGAAAGTACCCGGCTTGGAAACGAACAGCTTGGACACCTGATCAATACTGTGCATGAACCGAATCAGTTCCCACCATATTGAAACCATATATAGTTGAAGCCCTTGTTTGTTGGTAGTTACAGGGGAATCATCATTCCAGGCTACTTAGGTGGTGCAGGATTTCGTCCATCCATAGTAGGGCTGCTTGGCAAATTGCAAGGCTCCCAAGTTTCAACAGCAAAAAGTCAACCAGGGTCTCCGGAACATGCCAAAGCAAGGTCAACTTTGGATGAATCCGGAGGCCTGCGGAATTGTTTCACCGTAGGCTGGTTAGTAGGATCATGCGGCTTATATATGGCCATGGATCAAAATCCCATACCCCCAGTGAACATCCCAATCCCCACGAAAATCGAATAAAATGGATGGTGCACCTACCCCAAAATGGGATCCCATTGGTGTTGACCCATGGCCATACTTACTCCCAAGTCAACATGACTCCAGCTGTCCCAAACCAAAAAAGCCAGACTACAGGGGATGCCCCACTGAGCTTGGTTGCTTTTGAGAACTTTCTTGGTGCATAGTTTCCAAAAACCCATGTAAACTCGAGGAATCTAATGGCTTTTGGTTGGGCAACCTGGACTCCTCGGCAAAAAGCTTCTTAACTTTTTCTGGGTCTGATGGAACATCCGCAAAGTTTCCCAACTAGGTCCTCCAGTAGAGAGGTTAGAATAAGGGTATCCTTTTTCTGTAGTCTATTTTAGTAGGGGAACTCTCCCCCAAAAACGGGCAAAAGGGCACTACTTGGGGACCTAGATACAGGAAGGTGACAAAACCCACGATCCGTGGCTTGTGAGACCGTTAGACACCCCGATGCGACAGGGGGCCAAAAACCGATCACCTGCAAGACCGATAGGGACCACCCAAAACCGATACCTTCCGGTCATACTCTTGGTAGGTGGCTTGGAACAAACAGAAGCACCCGAAGTGACGGGCTGATGGGAACTCCGGAGTCATCAACCACTTGTTGACTTGTTGATCACTTTTGGAGAGGCAAACAACTACATCCCTATAGGACGTCAAAGGATCCAAGTAGCCCATGCGGTGTTGGGCTTGGGTCAAGGGGAATTTGAATTCAAATCCGAGGTACCCTCCGGGTCGGGCTCTACTTAGATACGGGGTCCACAATATGCACCCTTCGTCCGTGGATCATCTGAAAGATATGTCGGGCCTCCCATTTTTCCGATTCGCTGTCGCTTCCTAGTGAACTGGAAAACAAAAAGTACCTAACAAAACGTGATTGTTGGGCTTCAACCAAAATCCAAAAAGTAACTGAAGCAGATGAATTCAGGGAGAGGAGCTTTCGACATTCTCGCTTGACTTCCTGTAACACGTCCGGCAAAAACACCACTGACATTTGGTCGGGTTGAACGCCGACTTGGATGTTCAGCCAGGTAAGTAGTTAGCCACTTGGGGAGTTTCACCCCAAGGTGAACCCCACTACGGGGCACTAAAATTTTCTGGGTTATACCCGAACGGTTGCAACTTCCCTTGGCAACACGTTAGCAAACCCCCCGAGATCAAAGAGATCCGAATTCCCTTGGGCTTCTTCCCGTCACTTTGGGGACTACTCCTTGCTCTTCTGACATGTCAACTTTTCCTGGCAGCCCTTACTTTTGATCGCTTGGTGTGGTAAGAAGTAGATGGGTTCCACTTCTTTAGATGAGGTGTAGGGAAACCCATCGACATGTGTGCTGCAGGGCTCACCTATGGTCTCAAGGCTTCTCAACTCCGAGCTGCGCCAAGTGAGATCCGAGGTAGGCCATCCACTTCCTCGAAACGAATCCAGACCGGTTGAACGTGTGGCTGTGGGTCAAAACCAATGGGATCCCATTTTGCGGCAGGTGCACCACCCATTTTAGGTTCCCTATTTTAGTAGTCGGCTTGGGATGTTCACTGGGGCTACGATTTGGCTTCTGACCCATGGCCAGGTAACTCCTAATTGGTGGTTCCAAATTTCAAGGTGCCTTGAGCCTCAAACTACCCGTAGACTGGTTGATATTGCAGCCTAGAATCATGGTTGGTGGATTCCCTCCGGTAGTTTGAGGGTCCCGGTATCTTTCAATCAGTTGTTCAGTGACCCTGGGAAAACAAGGGAACCCTTTTTGAGGAAGACCATTTTTAGTGGGGCAGCCACCAAACAGGGATCCTTACATTATACACCTGAACATTGCCTTGTAAATTGTGGTTTCCCTTCATTTTGGTGGAAAAAGCCATGTTTCAAATGGGCAAGCTGTATCTTTTAAGGAGCCCTGCCAAAGAAAAGGAAAAATAATTGGTGCCACTGAACAATTGAGTTCAGGTGAGCCCTGGTTGGTTTGGATTGCTGGATTTGGAGTTGAGCCCCGGCCCTGACAAAGAGATGGGAAACCCCTCCTGAACCACCAAAGTACCAATCCAAACCACCAATTCGTCTGGGGGTTGATTCCTCTTCAGTCTATTTTAGGGGAACCCTCCCAACCAAAAAAGGGGTGAGCAAGGGCACCAATTGCTGGGGGACCTAGTGTAGTTTGCCACTCAAAAGTTCAAAGTTCAGGAACTCAGGGAGTGAGCTTGGCTTCCCCAAATTCTAGGGGCTGGTTCCTCTTCCATTCTTTTCAACCATCGTTTCCAAAAACCGGATCCGTTTTCAACCTGGGTGTCCGGAGATTTCTAGAAAGATTCGGATCCCTGGAAAGAATGGTTGGAAGGTACCCCTAGAATTCGAGCGAAGCTGAGGCTTGATTGCTGTTGACCCCTCTGCCACCAAAAACTGTTGGTCAGATAAAACATCCGTAGCTTCCCAGGTTGAAGTCGAAAGATCCAACCAAATAGCCAGAAAGACGTGTGATTCATGGATTTGTTTAAGACAACCACCCGCAAACACACCTGCAAACATAGGTGGCCTTTTGGAAAAAAAATAGATGGCCCTGGCAAGTGGAAAGAACCCCATCTAAACCAGGAATCGCCCTCTATTTTTTAAGCAAACCAACCAAAAAGGGCACCTATGCCTGTGAGTGTTTTCGCTTGCAAACTCCAAGCGGTGACCAAGTCTTCTTCTGACAAACTTGGGGTTCCCAAAATATGTCGGGGCCCGGGGCAACCCATTTATTTAGTTCGGGTCCGAAGGAGAGTCCAGGTCAACTCTTTGACAATGGAACTGCCACCTCGAGCTTAGTGGTTTCCATGACCAGCTTTCGCCAGGAGCATCCAGCGTGTCCGACTTGAAAACTGGAAGAACATGCCATGCATGCAGCAGCAAAACAGAACATTGAACAAAACTGAATATATATATATATATACATATGTATAACGCTATCCGGTGCGAAAGCATGCTGGGAGGTATGTGCGCAGTCTGGCAAAACACAATATTCGAGGGCACAGCGCAGCAGGGTTCCACCTTCTACAAAAGGAGAACCCCTAGGTTCAATTAAATTTGGAGATAGTCAACAAGTGGAACCCTGCAGTGCGGAAAATCCTCCCTGTGGGTGCTATTTCCACATGCCTGAAACACACAGCATAACACGTGGCGTTCGAATGCGAACAACCCTTGGGGATGCATTTGCCCACCAACCATTTTGAGGCAGTGCCTTTTCACTGGGCTGTCCTCAGATCCCGGCTGTTGTTTTGTCCTTTTAGTGGATTAAATGGAAATCAAACCGCGAAACCCTAAAAACCTAAAAGGCTGAGGGGACGGCTGGGAACCGCCAAGATAATCATGGCCAAATGATGTTTCCGTAGGTTTGTTTTAATGTGGAATCCCAACTTAAGTCCCCTGCATATCAACATGAAAAAAAACACAACTAGATAAGTATACTTTTGAAATTCGTAGGCTACCTACTATAGTGGTAGCTGGGTAGAACAAGCATAGGAGCCCATTTTGGATGCTACCATGCTTTGGTAAAGCCCCAAAACGGAAATCACTTTTGATCGAGTTGGTGGTCCAAAACAAGTCCGAACTTGTTGCTTTCCACCAAAACGGTCTTTCGGAAAAGTTTAAAGTCCAGGAACTCAGGAAGCGTGAAAAAGGGAGTTGGAGGGTGAAAAGAAGCAACGAACGGGCATCCTGCTAGAAAAAGGACGCCCTTTCTGGTCCAGAAGCCTTTTTGAGAGCTCCCTGTCACCAAACAAAAAACCATTTAGTGCCATTTAGATAGGGTTTCCGCCAAAGAACTGAGTCACAATCAAAACCTGGTACAGAGGTGGTATCTCAAAGTTATACAAAGAGCCCAAGCGGCGGCCGATATCGGGCTCAAGGTGTACTACTGGCTACCTTTCCATCCACCTAGCAGCTACCACTAAAAATGAACAGAACCAAAGCAAACAAAAGAAGAAGAGTGCTTCCAGTTACCACTATAGTAGGTAAGCAGGAGAAACCATATTGTCAAACCTACAGGTAAAATACCTGGTTACCTACTATGGTGGTAGCTGGAAGCGCTGGGAAACAAAACAAAACGCGAAACAACTGCATGCCAAGAACAGTGAAGAAAACCGAACACGGCGATGTGGTCGCTTGCCATTCGCCGGGCGACGGTGTATCAGTGCACACCTCCTCGCTGATGCAAGACAGGCGCTTGGGCCTCGCTCAAAAAGTTTCAGAAAGATCTGGGAGTTTCTCCAAATGGGATAATGCGGATATGTTTGCCCCCTGCACCAATACCCGCTTTTTGAAGGTTGATGAATGTCGACCCTGTACTTAGAAATGATGGTATTTACCCTGGACAATCAAGTTTTCCACAAAGAGCCTAACAAAAGGTCCGGGTGTTTGGAGTAGATAGTGGTTCGTGGTTGTAGTGGCATATGGTAATGCGGGGTCTCCAAAATGAGTACTTTGCTCAATATGACTGCTTCTCAAAATGGGACT